TGATTTAGGAGCGCTCAGTCAATCAATTCGTTCGACATTTTTTTTATTTTTGAAGTTGCGCTCAACTCAAGAAAATTATAAATCTGCCTCTGCTTAAGCTGACGTGGGAGTCAATATAAAAAATTCAAGGAATTTCTATGACCAAAACTAAGCTTCCACATCTCGTATTTCTTCAACTTACTTTCAAAAATAACTTGTCAAAACCTAACTTTTTATTCGTCTCTATATGTTTTGTTGTACTTCTGTATTTCCCGCTGTTGTTCTCGTATTTGTTCAACTTACTTTAAAAAATAACATGTCAAAACCTAACTTTTTATTCGTCTCTATATGTTTTGTTGTACTTCTGTATTTCTCGCTGTTGTTCTCGTATTTCTTCAACTTACTTTCAAAAATAACTTGTCAAAACCTAACTTTTTATTCGTCTCTATATGTTTTGTTGTACTTCTGTATTTCCCGCTGTTGTTCTCGTATTTGTTCAACTTACTTTAAAAAATAACATGTCAAAACCTAACTTTTTATTCGTCTCTATATGTTTTGTTGTACTGTTGTTGTCTGTATTTCTCGCTGTTGTTTTTCTGCTTACCTGTGCAGTGGGCGTGTTGTGTAAACTGCCTGGACATTGTGTGAGTACTTTGAGGTGACACTTTTTATGCACGACCAGAGTACACTGCACACACCTGTAGCCCTGATGACTCAACAGACCCCTGCAAACCACACGAGTTTTATTTCTTACGGAGTTAACTTAATTAATAAATTTTAAAGTTAATTTTAGAATGCTATTAGCATCGTCAATAAACAACAGAAAAAAAGTAATAATTAGATTTCAAAGAAACCAATTCATTTTTCAATTCTCACTACAAAAAATCATCACTTTGAAGCTCTTTGATTTCAAGAAAGCTCGAAATGAATGACAAAAGTTTCTGAAAAATATCAGTTTGAGAAAACTGAATTTAAAAAAATATATAAAAAGTTTTTTCTTTATTTTCAAATTAGTGTTATGTTTTGTGCGTGGTGTGATGAAAGGATCTGAAGAAAACTTAAGGTATATCTGACAATTTAGGTATATCTAACAATCACAGTGAAAAATGCAAATCGAGCAACGGTTTTATCGAAAAAAAAAGAACTAAAAAATTTTTTTTTGCAGAAACTGTTTTGATTTATTAAGTTTTTATTCTAAAAATGGCGCAAAAAATACTTCACAAAAAATACTACAGTTTCATGGCTTATCCTTCTACAAATACTTCTAAAAGGGATTTAATATAGTATATCGTTTCTTCATTATTTGTGGGAAAACTTTGCAAAATCAACACAGGCAAAGTTGCGGTTCCCAAACGCCAGGGTTGGCAAAATGTAAGTTAAAAACAAAAATAACAAACTAACTGTTATTTATCGAAAAAAAACATGTTATATTTGTTAAATTGTTAATTAAATTAACATATCAACAAGAGTTGAGTTTCTTGAACAGAAACGCCAACTTTCCGGCTTTCTCAACGCCGAGTTGAGCACGAAGCTTCCCATACGTCAGGTGAGATTTTTCGCTCTGTAGTTTGTCAAGTGAAACTGCAATTGGTTTGAAATTTTTTTTTCATCCGTTCAGGATTCGTTACAATCGTTTCGGAACAAGCATGCAGTATAGTTGCGTTGTGTTTTTCTAAGAATTACTCATATTTCTAAGAAATAGCTCACATCACTGTTAGAAATTATATATAACACTGTAAGTTAAATTCAATGTTAAATAACAATGTTAAATAACATGCCAACCCTGCCAAACACTAGCGAGAAAACGACAGAAAATCAGCTCAAAAAAGTGAATAAGAAAAAAGTTTAAAAAAGCATCGAAAAATAAAACTTTTATGTTACGGAATCGATCCCAGGACGAAAAGATTTAGAGTACTATGCCCGCGCATCTGCGCAACGAGCACTGATTGACAATCTGCTAACACTTACCTCAAATAAAGCAGCTACATATGCTAAGAAATTGCCAATGCGATTCAAGTGTCACCAAATACAAATAGACACAATTTTCCATGTAAAAACTCGATATATTAAATTGGGCATCCATATTAAATTTGCATGTAATAAATGGGAAAGCATAAAACAAAAATATGTAAAAATTATGCATTTCAAAAACATTGCGAGAAACATCGAGTAGGAAAATTTCTGAAATCAAGTTTATATTATTTTACTGTTGTTTGAAACAAATAGCTTTTTTTCTGTTCATTTGATGAATGAAAATGCATCAACTGGGTTAACTAAATAGTAACCAGTGTCAGCGCATAAGCTATCAAAAAGCCGTAAAGCTGTACTAAAAGAGATACCAATATTTGCTACTTAAGTTGGAAAAAGAATAGTCGTACTCTTAAAATGTGCTCGCTAAAGCGCGTTAGAGTAAAAACACAAAAAAAAAAACAAAGAGTCGGTTGCACAAAAAATTTCACCAGTTTCTTTTTTCAAATTGTGACGTGTTCAAATTTGCTTTTCGTGGTGAGACGAGAGTCTCTAAAAATCCCAGAAATTAGGCATATTCCCACTAAGAATAAATTTCAAAAAATGAAAAAAAAATCCCTAAGGCGTTGAAAGAACTTTCGCCGGGAAGAACAAAAACGAGATCAAATCAATTCTTTCAACACTTCAAATTAATTACCATAAAAAGTCTGAGCAGAAACTGCAGAATGTTAGATTCTTGAAGAAATGCGAGACGAACTCATGTCCGTTCACGCTGTGCATTTTCTTCTCTTTGAACGCAAACCGCCTCGACTGAATAACTTCATTGGCCGCTAAACTACTGATTGTATTTGTATTACTGCTATTACAACTACTGTTCATGAATATATTTCCTGATTGTAGAGGCGTGCCATGATTAGTGTAGCTATTCGACAAATGAGAGGGCGACACTGATTGGTCTTTGGAGCTACTGTGCTGTGATTGGCTGATTGTTCTGAACTGGGATAGCAGTAAAGGTGAGTTTGAGTTGTTTGATTGAGTACTAGTCGTCTGCTTTGATGAACACTTCTGATTAGGGGCGTGGCTTGATTGAAGGGTGGGGCTATTGTTGCTACTGCACTCTAGACTATTGCTACTGAGATTGTCCATGAAGAAATCTACAGGCAAATATCAAATCTATATAGAAAACATAGCCATAAGACAGTTGGAAAAGAGTCACGCGAGCAAACAAAAGAATGTACTGACTTGTTTTTTTTAGATAAATCCTCAACTTTCCAATTTTAAAAGAAACAGATGGCCTTTAAAACTCTTTGAACTTCTAGAACAATTTGTGATTGACACTTTTTCGTAAAAAATAATTCAATTTAAAAAAATGGGTGATTTCTTTATTACGCTGAGAATTCTAAAAAATTTAGTCGTTTACGTTCTTTCGTTTATGTTTTTTCGCGCTATTTTGTCTTGCGTAATTAGAGAGCGTAATTTATCTCATTTTTAGCTGATGTATTTCAGTTCAACTCAAAAAGAACATCTACTCCTAATTTATTCATAAATGCATTAATATGTATAAACATAGCCAACTGACTGTTGGAAAAGAGTAACGAACACAAGGAAACTGAAAAAACTGACTTGTTTTTTCAAAAACCTTTAACTTTTGAATTTCGAAGAAAAAAATAGATGGCCTTAAAGCTCTTTGAATTTGTAGAGCAATTTATTATGAACACTTTTTTGATAAAATTAACCCAATTTGAGAAAACTGGATCAATAGGTAAAACTTCTATTTCCCTGGGAAATCTGATAACTAATTTTCATTTTCGAAATTTGAAGTCCATCACATGTTTCGTGACCTTTACACTTTTGCTGTTCGATATTGGAGTTTGCCTTCCTTTAAACAATGGAAATGCACTGAACTTAAAAAGAAAACTCAAATCAAACAGCGAAAAAAAACAAACAAAAAATCAGCTAGACCTATATAATAGTACTCACTACGTTCCTTACTCTTAAACGCACTCGGTGGTTATAAGAGCGTTTTAAGATTTTTTGCAGAAAAAAGCGGTCACTATACATTTGGAAAAGAGTCATGAACGCAAGTAAGCAGAAAACAAATACTTACTTTATTTAAGAAACACATAGGCGAAGTTGCACTTCGCATACACAAGCAAAAACATGACCTATAACGCTACTGGGAAAAACTGAATGAGATAAACTTGAGTCCACAAAATTGCTTAAGAGACGCACGCAAATTATGAGTCTACATAATTGCTAAGTGACGCAAGCTTATTATGACGTATTAGCAGTACCAATCAATTTGAAAAAAAAAGAAATATACAACTAACATGCCTCAATTTATGGAGCGGATGCATTTTAACTAGTACACGAAAAAGTTCATTAGAAACATCCGACCCTGTCCAGGTTCGAACCCTCTTATTTTGTCACTGGTCGCCTTCCCTACGCTACAGATCCATGATGCCGGGAAGCAGAAGTGCTATTTGTAATATAATAGTCTGTGTTATTATCGTCGCTAGCATTGGCTGTACTAAATAGCTTGTTTAAGTACAGTCAATGCTAAGTACAGTCAACGCTTAATAGGCTGTACTTAAAAGCTTGATAATGGTTATTGATCAAAATGAACACATTTTATCGCAACAATCTTTCCGTCGCAACAAGATTTTGCTTGTGTAAACGTAGCCAACAGAAAGTTGGCAAATAGTCAATGATTGCAAGTAAACAGAGAAAAAATACTGACATGTTTGGAAAAAGTCTCAATTTTCAAAATTCAAATAAAGAAGTGGCCATCAAACTTTTTGAATTCACAGAACAATTATTGACAGATACTTTTTTTTGCCACAATTAGCACATTTTGACAAAATTGGATCAACAGGTAAATTCATTCCGCTGGTAAATCTGAAAATCAAATTCCACCTTCGAAACTAGAAGTCGATCACGTTTTTGCTTTTCGATCACGTTTTTGCTTTTTGCTTTTCGATCATTTTGCTTTTCGATAGTGGGGGTTTGCCTTCGCTTCAACAAAGAAAATCAAATGACGCTAAAATTAAAAATTCAAGACGCGAAAAACCAAATTTAAGCGTGAACTTTATCTTTACAAGATCTATACTAGTGAAAATCACTTCGCTCTTTTATACTAAAACAAAAATCATCAGAGCTATATATGATTCAATGCACAAAATTATTGCCACGTTCATTGACTCTTAATCAAGATACCAATTTTCTCTAAAAACAAGAGTTACAAGAGTGATCAAAGGACTTACGTTTGTCATGGCCTAATTAGTCTGCATGTTTATTTTTGTAACAATCAGACAATGTGAAAAAGAAATTAAAAGTAAAAAAAATCGAAGGTAGAGGGAAAACGAAAGATCCTAAGTTTGCTGAAAAAACTGAGACAAAAGCTGATCAGTCGGAAAACTTCAAGACGTAATTCATTGGAAGTTTTTTCTGCTTTGGAGGATTTGATTTAGACGAAAACACACAAAAAAACGGCAGTCGCGGGCGCTGAATTCACATCGCCCACCAAAGTTTCAAAGCGACATATCTTGCCTATCTTTTCAGTCAACACAATTTTGAATTAAGATTAAAACGACAAAAACATAGCCAACAGACAGTTGGAAAAGAGTCAATGAACGCAAAGAAACAAAAAAACTGACTGGTTTTTTGAAAAAGCTTTCTAATTTCAAAAAAAAAAAATGGCTTTAAAGCTCTTTGAATTTCAACAGCAATTTAAAGTTGGCGCTTTTTTGATAAAATTACCCAATTTGAGTATTTATTCCGCTGGAAAATCTCAACATTAAAATCCAAATTCGAAACAAAAAATCGATCATATTTATTGCGCCATTTCAGGTTCTATAGTCGGAGAGTGAATTTTGCCTACCTTCTAGCAAATGAACTTGAATCGAACTGAAAAAACGCATATGTTCCTAAAGGAATTCATAACTCCCAGTCATTTCTGGCCCAGTCACTTCCCCTCCAGTCATTCCTCCCCAAAAGCAGTCAGCTCCGGACATGACTGATTTTGGGGTGAAAATGACTGCGTTTTTGGACCGGAAGTGTCTGGGGTTGAAATGGATGGTCACGGGCATTCATATGTGCATTTATAAGTATGAACGCATTTCTTTTGTTATAAGAGCATTTAAAACTTTTCGAAAAAATATCACTTTTGAATAATCACCACGACCTAGATAAGAGTCTGAACTACGTTCATCGACTCTTAAGAATACATTTCTGTCAAAACTAATTGCAAGATCGATTGCTTTAAGCAATTTTCTGAATGTTATGAAAACAACAAATGAACTGAGACGCTTTAAAAACGACAAAATCGCTAACAAACACCGATCGCTACAAGCTTAGTTATGAAATCTTCGAAATGGATCGTATAAAATTACACCTTCCAGCTCTCCTTCACACCAACTTTATAAGAATTCAACCATCTCTGAACAAATTCCGATTTTGAATGTAAAGTTTTTTGAAAAACTATCGTACTTATGGTCTTAAAAAATACTCATGGTCATAAATTTTTGCTCTTTATGTTAGCATTCGTCTAAATTCGTTTTCCTAATTGGGTTATGTTGCCAAAACTTAGCAACTTACATATTTTTTAAGCCCGAGATTGTTTATTTTTCCCAAACAGTATATCGGTTTTCATCAACATCATCATTTAAATCTCTCATTTTAGAGGTGACTCACCGATCGCCGACTAACTCAAGTCAAACTAACCCTGTGATGTAATAGTTGCTGACTTAGGGAAACTTCCACTATTGGACATCATCTGCTGGTGTTGTTGTCTACTACTGCTAAGATTGGATCTGTTGTGATGAGGTGAGCCAGATATTGACCCCCCGGGAGTACTGCCAGTTGAGGTTAAATTCAGAGACTGGCTGAGACCATTACCGCCATCCAGTTCTAAACACAGACACAAACATAACTTCGTTACAGCGATCATCACAATAGTTTAGAACACATGAAATATTACTATCTGAGAGATTGAGCAAATGCTTCGGGAAAATGACAAAAACAACGGTAGAAAAAATGAAATAAACATTAATTCATAATCAAAAATTAGGAGAAAACATAGCACCAGACAGCGGTAAACTATTATTATACACGAAAAACAACGAAAGAAATCAAAAATTTATCATTGAAATTGAAAAACCTTTAAATAATTCACATTATTGATAAAAACTAACTACTGGCGACTTTAAAAAAAAACATTTCCCTTTTTCAAACAAAATTGAAAACATTTTTTTCTTAAAATTAATCACGGCCAATCTATTTTCTCTCACAATTTGAAATCAAACAAGAATAGCCGGTTGATGTGCAAGAGGCACAACGTTCTGACCACATTCTTACAAAAACACATATCTTCATATAAGTGTCTCTTTTTTGCGTGGTGGGATGAGAGAACTATTCAATCCTGTAGGTTTTAGGGAAGGAAAATTAACTTCCTAATAAATTTTCGAATTCTTTTGCACAATCACTTTGAAATTTATTTTTTTTTGCCAAGGAAGCTTCAAATTAATCTCTTAAAACCGGTTTTCTCTTTAATCATTGGGACAACTTATTGAAAATTGTTAACGGTCATTCGAATCACGACTGAAAGGGCTTTAATATGATATCTCACGAGTCATTCCGAAAATTAGTTGTGTTACCAGATTATGCGCGGAAATCAAAAAAAGTCTAAGAAAAAGAACCCCGCTCAAAACGCACAAGAAACTTTTCAAATGAGGCTACTAAGCTTAAACCAGTAAAGTCGAATCGTGTTAAGCCAGAAAAACTGGGGAACAGAAAAACAGAAAATACTTCAAACAGCAGTTATTGAAATTAAAGCCAATAAAAAAAATTGAATAGAACGAGAATCAATAATGCCGATATAATAAAAAAAGGCCTGTTGGTTTGAAAGACCAAAATGACAATATGGCAGAGTTTACGAACTAACAGGGATGACGAAAGACTTCTACGGAAGGAAAAGATAGAGATTTTGTTTACCACGTTTTAATGAAAAAAGCCATTGTTCCCATTTGATAACGCTTGATGATCGCCAGCGTAAACAAAATTTAATTGCTTAAGAACTTTGACAAAACACAAATGACGGAGAGAAGGGGCAAAAATCGCAAAAAATTCCCACTAGAACCTATCGTTAGAATAAACATAATTCAAAGCATTTTATTACGTTCATTTTGCATCAGTCTAAGTTCAAAAAAGCCGCAGCATAGCCAACAGTAAGGTAAAAAAAGTCAAATACTTAGAAAACCGCAAAAAAATGATGTTTTTTGAACAACTTTCAATTTTCACGTTTAAGTACATCGTATTTAATCTCGTTGTCAATAAATTGTTTATTCCGCTGGCAAATCTAAAAACTAAAAAGTCAAAGAAACTTAAAATTCAGTCACATTTTCGCCAGACAGTTGCACTTTTTTTCTTCTTGGAGAGTGTAATTTGCTTAACTCCTAGCAATGAATTGAATTCAACTCACAAATTTATCAAAAGTCCAACCACGAAATTCAAATTTGTCCGTAATCACATTTTCTTCTTGAAAAAAGCACATGGCCTAAATATCTTCACACGTACGTCAAACTTAATTATTAGTTATTGGAGACCGCAAATTTCCTTGAATTTGAATTAAACTAAAACAAATCGTGGGTCTAACCTCAAGAAAGCATAGCCAGCAGAGAGTTGAAAAAGTGTTAATGAGCGCAAGGAAAAAAAAGACTGATTTGTTTTTTGAGAACGTAATTTACTTTCCATTGAGCTACAGAATTTTAATTAAACTTAAGGAGCAAAGGTCAAACACGGAAAAGTCGTTAATTGATTCTTAATCAACAGAGCCAATCGAAGATTGGAAAAGAGTAATAAACGCAAGTAAATATTTAAAAAAACATCTCATATTTCGAATTTCAAAGAAAAAAATAGACACCCTTTAAGCTCTTTGAATTTCAATAACGATTTATCATTAGCGCCTTTTTGATAACATTAACTCAACTTGAGAAAACTGAATCAACATGTAAAATTTTTATTCCGCTGGAAATACAAAAATTAAATTCCACTTTCGAAACAAGAAATCGTTCAAGTTTTTTTTGCGCCATTTCCACGTTTGTATTTGGAGAGTGCTATTTACGTCACTTTCAGCAATAACTGAAAAAGTGCATATATACTTAAAAGCATTCATAAATGGATCAAAATGTTGAATGCACGTCTGTAGATATTAGAGACTTTTAACACTTTTCCTGAAAAAAAATCTGCAAGACCTATTAGTAGTATAGCGCAACAAGAGGTCAAGCCTGTTTTCGGAGAAAGGTCAACCTGTCAAGGTCGCGTGACTATGTTACTCAATTAGCCTAATCTTTTTTTTTTCTCGGGGGTCGTAATAAATATCTTATCAGATTAATTTTTTCACTTGAGTTGATTTTTAGGGGTATATGACCGGAATCATTGGGGACAATTTCGTCAATTGTTATTAAAGAGGATAACTTTATGAAATCGCTGAGGGGGAATAAAATATTATCAGATAACTTTTTTTCACTTGAAGTAATTTATCTCAAAGATATCAGAAAAAAAATTATTAAAATAAAAAATTCCCACTTTTGAGAAAAAGATATCAGAAAACATGTATATATAAAAAACAAAAAATTCTCAAATAATTTTTTTTGAAGTATCAGAAAAAATATATGAAAAAAACAGAAAATTCCAAAATTTGAGAAAAAGATATCAGATTATATATAAATAAAAACCAGAATAATCCAAAACCTGAAAATTTTTTGAAAGACATCAGAAAAAATTATAAAAAAAAAACTGAAAATTCCAAATAAATCCATTTTAAAATATCAGAAAAAAGTCTATGTAAAACCAAGAAAAGTTCAAAATTTGAGAAACAATTTTAGCTCCTACTAAAATTTTCATCCCTTCTAACCTTATCTTTTACATCCTGTTTAATCCTTTGTTTTCCCCCAGGATATAATTTGTCAGAAGACTTTTATCTTTGTAATAAAAAATTATATACCCTTTATTCCAAAATTTGAGAAGAGGATATCAGAAAACATGTATAGATAAAAAAAAAGAAAATTCTCAAACAATTTTTTTGAAGTATCAAAAAAATAGATGTAAAAAATAGAAAATTCCAAAATTTGAGCAAAAGATATCAGAAAACATCTTTATCTAAAAAAAAACAAAACTCTCAAAAATTTCTTTCTGAGGTATCAGAAAAAAAAATATGTAAAAAACAAAAAATTCCAAAACTTGAGAAAAAGATATCAGATTATATATATATAAAAAACCACAACAATCCGAAACCTGAAAAGTCTTTTAAAAGACATCAGAAAAAATTATATAAAAAACTGAAAATTTCAAAATAATTCCATTTTAAGATATCAGAAAAAAGTCTATGTAAAACCCGGAAAATTTGAGAAAAAGATTTTAAGCTCCTACTAAAATTTTCATCACTTCTAAGCTTAACTTTTACATCCTGTTTAATCCTTTGTTTTCCCCAGGATATAATTTGTCAGAAGACTTTTATCTTTGTAATAACAAATTATATGCTCTTTATTCCAAAATTTGAGAAAAAGATATCAGAAAACATGTATAGATAAAAAAAACAAAGTTCCAAAATATTTTTTTGAGTTGTCAGAAAAAAAAACATGTTAAAAACGGAAAATTCCAAGATTTGAGAGAAAGATATCAGATTATAAATAAATAAAAACCTGAAAAATCCGAAACTTGAATTTTATTTGAAGTCATCAGAAAAAAAAATTTATTAAAAAAGAAAAATCCCACTTTTGAGAAAAAGATATCAGAAAACATGTTTTCATAAAAAACAGAAAATTCTCAAATAATTTTTATTCAAGTATCAGAAAAAAATATATCTAAAAAACCGAAATTTCCAAGATTTGAGAAAAATATATCAGATTATATATAATTAAAATACCAGAATAATCCAAAACCTGAGAATTTTATTTCAAGACATCAGAAAGAATTATATAAAAAACTAAAAATTCCAAAATAATTCCATTTAAGATATCAGGAAAAAGTCTATGTAAAACACAGAAAATTTCAAAATTTGAGAAGAAGGTTTTCAGCTCCTACTAATATTTTCATCCCTTTTAACCTTTTCTTTTACATCATGTTTAATCCTTTCTTTTTCCCAGTATATAAATTGTCAGATGACTTTTATCTTTGTATTGAAAAATTATATGCTATTTATTCCAAAATTTGAGAAAAAGATAACAGAAAACATCTTTATCTAAAAAAAAAACAGAAAACTCTCAAATAATTTTTTTTGAGGTATCAGAAAAAAATACATGTAAAAAACAGAAAATTCCAAGATTTGAGAAAAAGATATCAGATTACATATAATTAAAAAACCAGAATAATCCAGAACGTGAGAATTTTAATTAACGACATCAGAAAAAATTATATAAAAAACTAAAAATTCTAAAATAATTCCATTTTAAGATATCAGGAAAAAGTCTATGTAAAACCCAGAAAATTTCAAAATTTGAGAAGAAGGTTTTCAGCTTCTAATAATATTTTCATCCCTTTTAACCTTTTCTTTTACATCCTGCTTAATCCTTTCTTTTTTCCAGCATATAATTTGTCAGAAGACTTTTATCTTTGTAATAAAAAATTATATGCTCTTTATTCCAAAATTTGAGAAAAAGACATCAGACACATGTGTAGATAAAAAACAGAAAGTTCTCAAATAATTTTTTTTGAGTTATCAGAAAAAAACATGTAAAAAACAGAAAATTCCAAGATTTGAGAGAAAGATATAAGATTATATATAAAAAAAACCAGAAAAATCCGAAATTTGAGACTTTTTTTAAGGACATCAGAAAAAATTATATTAAAACTAAAAAATCCAAAAAAATCCATTTAAAATATCAGAATTTGAGGTATCAGAAAAAAATATATGTAAAAAACAGAAAATTCCAAGTTTTGAGAAAATGATATCAGATTATATATATATATACAAAAAACCAGAATAATCCGTAACCTGAGAATTTTTTTAGACATCAGAAAAAATTATAAAAAAAACTGAAAATTCCAAATAAATCCATTTTAAAGTATCAGAAAAAAGTCTATGTAAAACCAAGAAAAGTTCAAAATTGGAGAAAAAAAATTTAGCTCCTACTAAAATGTTCATCCCTTCTAACCTTATCTTTTACATCCTGTTTAATCCTTTGTTTTTCCCCCGGGATATAATTTGTCAGGAGACTTTTATCTTTGTAATAAAAACTTATATGCTCTTTATTCCAAAATTTGAGAAAAAGATATCAGAAAACAAATATAGATAAAAAACAGAAAGTTCTCAAATCATTTTTTTGAGTTATCAGAAAAAATATATGAAAAAAACAGAAAATTCCAAAATTTGAGAAAAAGATATCAGATTATATATAAATAAAAACCAGAATAATCCAAAACCTGAAAATTTTTTGAAAGACATCAGAAAAAATTATAAAAAAAACTGAAAATTCCAAATAAATCCATTTTAAAGTATCAGAAAAAAGTCTATGTAAAACCAAGAAAAGTTCAAAATTGGAGAAAAAAAAATTTGCTCCTACTAAAATTTTCATCCCTTCTAACCTTATCTTTTACATCCTGTTTAATCCTTTGTTTTTCCCCCGGGATATAATTT